AATTGCGATAGACTACTGTTTGTATATTGGGATCAAATCGACCTTTAGGACGTGACCTTCTGCGTGGAACCCAGTATTAAACTTCATTTACATTCTAAATCACATCGATGTCCGAGGGTGCATAGCCCACAAATAAAACCAGGGCAGAATTACAAATATGTTCTTCTATTTTATTTGTTCACATTTCATTTACGAGTGACCTGCTTGCCATACACACATTTGTTCAGACTGACATCATATTCGGATTGCGACGGACAGGTGCCATGGACGGGGCGATCGGCTACGCATTTCTTGGCGGAGTTAAGTTGGAAGTTGGTGGGGCATTGTTGACCGGCGACCAAGGCAAAGATGGCGCAGAAAATAGCCAAGAACCAGGTGAATTTCATGTTTAAGATCTATGGGGAAAAAGGCTTTGTTAGCTGCCAACTGGGCGAAGTACATTGTACACTGCACTTACTTTCTCGATTGCTTACAGAACACTTTGTCCCAAAACTCGGAAACAGACTAATCAGCATCCGATCACAAATCTAGTTTTATATGCCTCGGTTGCGACTAAGTTCGTTTCATTCGAAGTTGGGTTTTACGCCGATGGCGATAGCACGGTGTGACCCCTGCAGTCAGCCATTGTGAGCGTGTAATCAGTTTCGAAACTAATTTCATTTGTTTCGGACGAAAAACAATACCAACACATTCAAATCTAATCAGCTACACACATTCATTCGGATTCCAGAAGAAATATGGATTCTAATGCGGCTGGGCGGGATGTGTGTCAAGCGATTGATAACAACAAAACAGTATTGTGCTACAAAAGTACTCTTGGTGGAATTGTAGAATCTAAAGCAGTATTTTATGGGCTCCAAGAATAGCTGCAGCCTATCCATAATGATCCGCCCATTGAAGTAATATTAAGTGTCTACAAAATAGTTTCCCACTCCTATCTGTGTATCTCAAAATATAAGAGTGGGTCTTTTTTGAAATCCTTGTGGTTTCCAATAGAACAATCTGTGCGTTGTACAAAACTTATGACAACTGAATATTCTGATTTCCAATAAAGGTATCCCTATTTGTGTAAATATATGTTCGGTACTTTCGAACTGGTAGATATTTAAAAATATGTTCACTTACTGGCCAACTTCTAATATTATGATAGTCCTAATGACATTTTCAGGCACATGATTAGGCATGTTGCATTTTTCGATCGAATTAGCTCTAATTTTGCATTTATGGCTTTCAGTACGTGAACTATTTAAAAACATTTTTTTTTGGCGCAACTTAATGTGTTCGCCAGGCGTGGGCAAGACCCAACCGCTATTGTACGCGCATCTGTTGCAATTCAATACCATCTGCGGATCATTCGACTAACATCTCTAAATACTATAATAATATATGTTTTGACGAATGCTTTGTAATTGTCTTTGAAACAATTCCATCCTGGTCATATGGTGATATTTCTTCCGAAAATAAAGCACCAAAACTGAAAATAATTTTTTATTTTAAAATCGGATCGATGTCTACATTGGGACAGCAAACATATACATATGTATATTAAGTGCTCTGCAGGACCAAAACATCGATTCGATATCAGCGACAAGTGGCAGAAAGAAGGGACAAACTCCGGGCAAAAGTGCCTGTTTGGCATATTAAAGTAGCAATTACATGTATAATCGTATAACATGGCCGAACAATGTATCCTACTTGTGTATCTGTGGAGTTGATGCAGATGCTGATGCAAGGGCGCTTTGTTGGGGCCAGAGTAGGTGCGGGAATGACGGAGGCAGGGGAGGGAACTCAGCTCGGGCAACACAAGAACCCAACCGTTCCTTCTCGATGTGCTTTATGGCAACCGCAAATGTTATGTGAATAAGTTAATATTTTATTTTACCGAACTTTTGTGAACTGCAAACTTCTTATGCAGGGAGAACGTAAATAAAAGGCAAATGCATGACTTGAGAGGGGACAGTGTTGGGAGTGGTTGCCGTTTCATGCTCAGCTCATGGACTGTTTGATAAATCACCACCATTGCAAGGGTCCTATTGGGCTACCTTCGTTCTCCCCCACAAAAGAAATAATTAAAAAGTTTCTAAAGCGTATCGCTAGCGGGCAAATATAGTGTCCAACAAACTGTTGTGTACGCCAAAGCCGTAGCTATGCAGCAGATTTTAACGGCCCTTTGCGGGGGAAGCTCCGAGGCTTCTCCCTTCCCACGAAGTCTGTTCATACATGTGTAATATGGCCGACTCCAAAGTAAGAAGAACATTTCATTCAGCTTAGCTGCACTTGCTTATGAACGAGGTTGATGTGTGTGGGTGTCAGTATGTGTAAGTGTAAGTGGATGCCACGAAAAACAATAAAAATGAAACCATGACATTTTACTTATCAGCAGTCACTTGAACTGGATTTGTTTAATACAAACCAAAACAAAGATAATGAATTCCGAAAGGAAAAAAACTGTCTTCTTCGCTATGTCGGTGGCTTCAATTTCATTCAGTTCCATAGGATTCGATTTTTTTTTTCGATCACAAATTGCACCTTTTGTTCTAATTTCATTTAGTTCAATAGGATTCGATTTTTTTTTTTTTTTTTGATCGCAAATTGTACCGTTTATCACGTATAAAAACGGTTGGAATATTTATGTATGGAACCCCTAACAAGGATGTTCCAACAGAAATAAGAGAGTAAAGCTCACTGGTTAAACTAATCAAATCCGACTTTCAGCTGCTCTGCATTGAAGATATTGGCATACAGACGTTGGAAATAAACGTTTTGTAGAGTGCGAAAATAGTCAGCCTAAAAGTGCTCTTTATATTTGAAATAGGTTCGGAACCAGTATGCCAGCGGTTGCTTTTCGATTTCTTTTTTGGGAAAAAATGTTTTAAAAACCGTTATATTTTTCATAAATTGTTAAACGCAGTTTCTCTCTATTCATAAACACCACAACATGTCTAGAATTACCCAATATTGAACTAAAAAGTTTAGAATTTTTTCAAATTAACAATAAATCTATACAACGCCTAGAAAAATACGAGTCAATAGAGATATGGATGAAAACTTTTTAAATAGCGGTCGGTGTGGAAATTACTATCAATACAAAAATATTGAAAGTTAAGAAACGTCTAATTCGCGCATTCGTTGAAATCAGATGAGGCACATGCGGGCCGAACTTTGAATACCCTCCACCATTTAGAACGAATTTGGAAATTTTCGAAAAAGAAAACGTTCGCTAAAAATTCAGACCCCGTTAGGGTCTGTACGACATGCACCTACATAGGCATTGTTTGTCACAAGCCATAGCATATTTAAATTCGAAACTTGAAATAAACGGTGAATAATGTAGCTAAAATCATCAAAATAACGTACATAGGGAGGTACCGTTATATCGGAGCTATACGAAGGCCTGGACCTGCATAGACAATTTTCTGTCACCGGCTGTAGCTTCCATTACCAACATCAAATACGACATCTCAAACAATTTCGGCGAGTATTGTACCTAAAATCGTGAGAATACCGAATATAGGGAGGTACTGATATATGGGGCCTATACGAAGACCTCGACTGCATAGACAATTTTCTATCACAGACTATGGTTTCCATTACGAACTATAAATACGTAATTTGAAACTACTACGGTGAATAATGACGCTAAAATCATCAAAATATCGAATATTGGGAGGTACAGTTATATGGGGGCTATACGAAGACGTAGACCTGCATAGACAATTTTCTGCCTTAGGCTGTAGTATTCATTACGAACTTCAAACACAAAATTTCAAACAATTCCGGTTAATAATGTCGCTAAAATCATCAAAATACCGAATATAGGGAGGTACCGTTCTATGGGGGCTATACGAAGACGTGGACCTGCACAGACGATTTTCTGTCTCAGGCTGTAGTATCTATTTCGAACTTCAAATGCCAAATTTGAAACAATTCCGGTGAATAATGTCGCTAAAATCATCAAAATACCGGACCTACATGGCCCATTTACGAACTTAACTTAAATAAATATGTGTGCAAAATTTTAGCCTTTTATCTCAATTCGTTCGAAAGATAGCGTGATTACAACAGACGGAAAGACAGACACACAGACAGACTGACATTGCTAAATCGTCTTAGAAATTTACGCTGATCAAGAATATATATACTTTGTTGGGTCTGGCATGAACATTTCTGACATGAGTATTTCCCATAGTATGGTGGAGGGTATAAAAAAGTTTACAGATTCATAAGAACATTTTGTGCCAAACTTGGACTACCTGGATATATTTGGATGAACAGACAAGAGATGGCTGGATCAATGAATAGTGCGTTGAACAACGAAAATATTGTAATCGCTAATCAATGTGTCCAGTCTTTAAATGCTAACCAAATGCAGACTTTCTGCGAAAGATACAACAAATCTTGGTGTGGATTATAACCGGGAACATATCTGCCAAACCTGCCCAGTGTGTGTCGTGGAATTCTTATTTTATAGAAGAGTAGTCTTACATTACATGATGCAGTTCATTAAGTTTGGGGATTAAAAAACGTTGGCACATTGTTTCGAAAGCTTTCTGATTGATGTTCCAAACGATAAGCTAATGTAACTTTCGCTCCCAGTTAAGGCAACGATTTAAGTGTTAACAACTTGTTTACCTCAAAGGTTCTATATTTCACATGATTTTTCAGTTTTTCTATGACAACGTTTTTACGCTATAGAGAAGTGGTGGTAACCCGCATCTGCACCAATTGACCAGCAGACACCGACTATGCAGTGAAAAAATCCCCTTCAAATCTATGCATTTATATACAAACATTCGGCATTCCCATACACTCGAAATAACACGGAATGGAGTCCTACCACTTCAACACTTTGTCGTTCCTTGCACATAGAATGACCATGCAGGGTACTGACCAGCAGAGTCGTTCCAACCTCCAACCGTCTGGAAATAATGGCATGGGTATTAAGTATGGCAAACTGCCTCAAACTACAGAGACAAGAACTGCACTTCGGGAATACTTTTTGCCTGTCCTCCCCTATAAATAAAACTACTCCAACGGAGCATTATCTACATTTATCTGATCACACTTGCCAACTTCAACTGGCAGGACGAAAGAAAAATTAAACTTTTGCAACCATGGTCCCCCTCCTTTTTATTTAGAAGAGATGTCCGTGTTCTTAAACTTTTACAACCACATGCACAGTACTGCAGAAAGTTTTGTGGCGGCGATGCGATTGGAAGGGCGCTCTCCAGCGCAGGCCTTAAAAAGCAGAGTAATGTGTCCAACTGCGCTCTGTAAGAACTTAGAACTAGAAATGAGAGACGTAAGGCCAATGGTATATATAAATGTGTCGGAACATTAAAATTATTCGATTTTTCATTGACAATAAACTTTAATAATACATAACTTACATACATACATACGATACATAAACTTACACAATTTTTAACAAGTTTGCATTTTTTTACAATAGACATGTCAAAATCTCGGCAACTTTATGTCAAAATGTAAACCCAAATTTGATATTTTTGTGGGCACTCATAGCATTGCAAGTATCTTCATTGGACACTACCTTCCGACATGCACAAATAACTTCTCATTGATAACTCCCACTATTGCTGGCCTTCCATTGGCCTTGTTTCCGTCCCTGAACAACATGTATGAACACCAGACGTTCTACACTTTGGCAATGGTCTATCTCTTGGCCAAAATCGAAAGTGTGACCATATTTTTCTGGTGCAACCAATAAAATCTTGTTAGCAAACTTTTTGTTCCATGCCCAGTATGGGTGTGGCAGTGCGGTTATTCATTTTAAGAGAAACAAAGCTCCAACTTTGGTACAAAAGATACTTAGTTATGCCTTTCGGTCGTTCGTCACTAACGTCTACATGGGCATGGATCATATCCATAATTACACGGCCATTCATGAAAAGTGAAGAAACGTCGTCCTCGGCAGCTGGAATTTATTTTGCCACTAGTTTTTCTACGAATGTGGAAACTCACAGTGACTACATCCCGGCAATATAGTTCAATGTTTCTAACCTAGCATTTAGCATAATATGGAATGTATATACGTATATGCGAAAATCAGAACAATATTGATTCTTAAAAATAATTAATTTTATAACGTTAATATATTGTAGGTCTGAGGATTTGGAGCTGGCGTGTTTGTGTAATACGTCCGTTAAAATTAAAATTATTTTCCCAATTGAAGTTATTTGGTGCACAACGTCGAATTTTAGACAATTTTGACTCGGAATCTGACAAATACATTTTAACGATGCTGTTACGTTCATTTTAAAACGTCGCTGCAACTATGCTACAATAAAATACAAGGTAGGCCGGGGCTAACGACCAAATCCTTCTATGTGTATACTTTCCCAGATAACAATTTCTGAGAAAATATGCAAACGAAAATGAACTATCGGAAACGTTTGCCATCGTTTCGTTCTGTATTTTCTCGAAGTACGAAACAAACCCTATATTAAGATAACTGGACTTTTCTCTTATTTTGTACTATTTGTGTAGATGAGTGAAAACAAAAAAGCAGAACTGAAATTTACTCTGCTGGATTACGCAACATAGGTAACGAAACTATACAATACTCATGACAAACGTTTGCAAACATTTCGCTGTACATTAACTCACGACAAACATTGATTATGTCTATCACGCATGGAAAATTATAGAAAAACAACAGTTTTGAATGACAACTCTAAATATATGTCATCATTTTGCACAGCAAATGTTTGGAAACGTTTCCCGACGATTCGTTCGCAAACGATACTACTCACAGCAGGAACTAAGGTAATGGTATTGTTTGTGTACATTAATCGTTTGTTTTCGTTCGCTGATCGTATGCATGAACAAAATTTACCATTTCTATGACAAAACAAATCTTTAAAAAAAATAAATAATATATATATATATATATATATATATATATATATATATACATATACATATTCTACCTCATATTATTGTACCATGGCTGCAACCATATTACAACATAGATTTGAATATTAGAAATATATTTCGATTTTTGGGGTCACTTAACTGTTGGAATTGTTGCTACATCTTTTGTGTAGAAAATAAACGCACTGAGCATACAGAATCCAATCAGTCTTATTATGAGGATTCAACCGGACAATATATTTACGACAACATACAGGATTACTTGTAATATTTTTTACACTCTGCATCATCCTTAAGGGTATTGTAGTTCTATGGTACATATTTATGTGTTACAAAATATCGACGCTACGCTAAACCAGAATGTTGAAAATGCAATCGGCTACCAAATGTCATGAAGGATGTTGAAAGAGTTTCAATTTAGTACTTAAAATAAAAGATCCACCCCAACAAAATACGAAATATTTAAACGAACAATATTAAGTAAAATCTAAACATATAGTTTGCCAACTCGCTCAAAAAAAGGCCTATAAATGCGCGGTGAAGTTATAAAAAAAGGAAATAAAAAATGCGTAAAATGTCATCTCTCCTCCAACTGTGTTCATTGAC